CAGCTTGCACAGATGGTTATCTTCTCGAAAAAAGTGGATCTTGCACAAAATGTTCAAAAGGTTGTTCAGTTTGTACTTCTGCCACTGTCTGTACCGCATGCAATGATGGGTATTATATTGAAAAAAATGTATGTAAAGGGTGTTCGGATGGCTGTTCAACTTGCAGTGGTGCCGCCACTTGTACTAGTTGTAATGATGGATATTATCTAAATAATAACAAATGCACAAAATGTACAATTGGCTGTTCAAAATGTAGTGATGCTACTAAATGTACTGAATGCTCAAGTGGTTATTATTTGGAAAATAATAAATGCAAAAAATGTACAATTGAAGGTTGTGCAACTTGCACTGATACTAACACTTGTTCTAGATGTAGTGATGGGTATTACAAAAATGGTAATAAGTGTAAAAAATGTGAAAATAACTGTGAAACTTGCAGCAGTGCTACCAAATGTTCTAAGTGTAAAGCTGGTTATTATCTTGAAGAAAGTAAGTGCAAAACAGAAACTGAGTGTAAAGATTCTGCAATGGGATGTTCGAAGTGCAAACAAGATAAAACAACTTGTGTTTCATGTACAGCTGGATATTATCTAAATAGTAACTCATGCACAAAATGTAAAAATGGTTGTTCAACTTGTACTGATGCTACTACTTGTTCTGAATGTACAAATGGTTATTATCTTGAAGGAGGCAAATGCAATAAATGTACAAATGGCTGTTCAATTTGCAGCGATGCTAACACTTGTACTGGCTGTATTGATGGGTATTATCTAAATGGTAAAACATGCAAAAAATGTGGGGAAAATTGTGCAAAATGTTCTACCTCAAATATTTGTTCTAAATGTGACCCTGGTTTTGTTGGATATCTTTCTTCTAAAGGTATGTGTACTCCTTGTTACCCAGATTATAAATGTGCCACATGTGTTGAAGACCCCAAGGATGCCAATGGTAAATGTAAAACATGTGATACTAATACCAACTACAAATACATGAATGGTAATAAATGTGTTGATTGTGCAACTGGAAAAATCACATTACAAGATACATGTGATACCTCAGAAAACGCATGTGGAAGTGGATGTGCTGCATGTATGGAAGTTGCTGAAAGTACAACGGCAAAATGTACCAAATGCACTACATCAACTGATTACATCAATCTTGATGGAACATGTAATAAAACTTGCAAAATTGGTAAAACTAATAAAATTAAAATGATGTGTGAAGAATGCACTAATGCTGACTGTGAAACTTGTGAAACAGTTGAAAATGCTGAACAATGCACCAAATGTGGAACCAAATACATTGCTTTTGACAAAATATCATGTGTTGATAAATGTACCATTGGTAAACCAGTTGAGACTCCAATCAAAAAGTGTGATAAATGCGCCACTGAGAATTGCGATGTTTGTGACAAAGATGACAAGTGCACTCAATGCAAGACCAAATTCAATCTCATGGCTGACACTTCGAAATGTGTTGATAAGTGTCCAGAAGGATATATGACAGATAAAACAAATAATAAATGCATTAAATGTACTGTCGAAGGTTGCGCAACTTGTGAAAATGTGGATGAATGCACTGCATGTATGGCTGAATACAAGTTGGAGGGAGGAAAATGCAATGGAGCTAATGCCGTTTTCGCGATAATGGGTTTAGTCGTTATGGCGTTTTTATTCTAAAATTCTAAACAAAGAAATTTATTCAATTTTGTTTTAAAATAATATAAAAATAATAATATAATATTTTAATGATTATTTAATAATGTAACTTATATTATAATTTGTTGGATATCTAATGTAAACTATATAAACACAACATAATTTAATTTAAAATGATTTTTCAATTGTAAAGTTTATATGGTAAAAAAGAACATATCAAAATAAACAAATAAAAATATCAATTTTTATTTAAATGTATCCCCCTTATTTGATATATGTAACAACATTTTTTGTTTTTTAGAAAATCATTTCAAAAATAATTTGTGAACACATATTTAATTTAATATATTAGAAATATAATTTCAACGTGAATCGTTTTGTATGTAATTATTTATATACAATGCCGTCATAATATAGTGTTTTGTGATATTTTTTTTGTAAATAAAGACAATTTAATGTATATATACAGTTGGGCAATTAAACCTTCGCACAGCAAATTAGCATAAAAAACTAATTTCATTCAACAAAAAATACTTAATTCACAAGAAAAAACCAAATGCAAGAACTATAAATAAAAAAATTATAACATAATATTTTTACGTTTTTAAAAATAAACTGTTCTTAAAAATTAAAAATAATCGAAAAATAACAGCAACGAATTTGTTGAAATTAATGAAAGTGATATTTTAAACATTGAAATTTACTTGAATCCATTTAACGCAATAGAAATGGACAATTTAAAAGATATAAAAAAATTCCAATCAACCATTAAATTATATCAACGAACAGGAATTGAAATTGCGAATCGCAAGATCTCTATTCAAATCTGAGATGTTGTATGCCAAGTCAAACTCCCATCACAATATTTCAAGAAGTGATTCAACCCAAGCATTAAAGTTGTTTTGTTTCATCATGAACAACCCCATATTGATAAGAAAAGGTGTTTTCATTCAAACTTTACAAAGAGCAAGTCATTTTTATAAACAAAATGACTTCAAAACATTTTAGTCAAGGTGTCGTGGGTGCATTTTTTTAAAGGTTTAAGATGAATAATATCCAATCAAATATCAAGTCAAAAGAAAGATCAACAGTTTGTTCAAAGAAATCCAGGAAGGCTGTCACTGCTTTCCAAAACCACCAAAACAGTTATAAAAAACATTATCGATGAATATAACAATCAAAGCATTGCTTTGACTTTTCAAATGTTTTGTGACATTGTCGAGTATTTAAAATGAACAAAACCACAAAGTGATACAATGAGAAAAATACTCTAAAAAGAGTTTGATTTAGAAACATCAGAAATTAAGTTCGATAAATTTGAGAGAATCAACATTGCACCACAACCAATACTTGATAATTATAAACAGTTGTCTGATCTTCGATCTTGTAACTGTTCAACAGTTACAAGATCAAAGACAAAATGTTGTTTAATGTCGACGAGATGGGAACATCTGAAAAATCAAGTCGAAAGAACACACGAGCTATGGTACCCAAAGGAGTCAATACAAAGATTCATGTTGAAAATGGACCAAAATCAAAAACAATTACTCTAATTGAATTTATAAATTATGTGGATGAAAGAATCAACGAATTTTGTGTTATTAATAAAGTTCATTACATTACGATTCTAAATAAATACTTTAGAAACATTAAGTTGTATTGCAACACTTCTGGTTTTGTAACCAGTGAGATATTTATGTTGTGGATACAAGAAGTATTCATTCCAGGAGTCAAGAAGATCAGAATGGAAAATGGATACCACAAAAGTAAATATGCAATACTGATTACTGATAATTTTAGATGCCACGTCGTTGATGGTATTAAACAAATTTGTTGCAAAACAACATCGTGGTTCATTATCTGGTTCCACACACCAGTCACTTGTGCCAACCACTTGACTTAGTTGCATTTGGATCCATCAAAAGAAAAATGGAATCGTTAAACGTGTATTCAAAACAACAAAGAGTGTCAACTTCTTGAAAAACGACACTGTGATTACAAATATCCAAAATGGAAATGAAGGCGCATTTTACAAAATCCAACGTTTAAAAGAATCATTTCCACAGTTGCTGCCCAATGAATTGTTTGAAATGGCAGAAGAGTTCAAGCATAAAGAGGAATTTGGTATCTTCCCCAGTGGAATAGCAAACCAACTCAAAACCTTTCTCACTTCAATAGCAGATGCCATTGTAACTTGTCCAAGTAAAACCAAAAAGTATTAGGACCTTCTTTTTGGTGTTGTTTGTAATGGGTGCAACACAGAAGAAACTTCACTGTTTACATAACAAAGGTTGACCAATTTAAAAACAACATACACACCAAAATAACAAAAAATTTAGTAGAAAGTTTGGATTCGATCGTAAGGTTGTTAGAACGTGAATAATGTGCATTTGAGTCAATTGAAAAAGAAGAAGAAGACGACATGACCAAGATTAAAAAAACAGTTTGTCTTGACCAAGTTATGGTTATTTGTTGATTAAAAAGGAAAGAGCATTTTGGGGATTAACAATTTCAAACAAGTTGATAACCATTTTCAAGTCAGTCAACAAAGCACTTGGTTCAGTTACAATTATCAATTCTTTTGAGAGAGCGGTAATTGTATCGAGTTTAGGAGAGGATGTTTAGTATTATGCATACATGGATCTGAAAGAATCCAGGAGAATGCTTGAAAAAATACCAACAATTAAAACTTTTGATGGATACGAAAATTTAATTGTTGTACCAAAAGACTCAAAAATAAATTAACAAGGTCAAAGTGGTGCCACCAAAACACATTAAAAGAGCTCAACAACTAAAGAATGATATTTATACAGCAAAGTGTCATGGACAACACGTCACCTGTATTTACAGAATCAATTTGACACAACAAGTTTTTACAGATACATCTTTGACAATGCCTGATACCACAAATTTTGTTGGAGAAAATGTGTCATTACCAATGGAAACTGAAGAATTAACAGAAATTGATACATCAGACAATTTAAGTGAAAGTAAACCACTTGATAAATACACAATCCAACTTGTTTATTAAAAGGTGATGACAAGTCACTTTTAATTAACAACTTATTTATTAGTTCTTTTCAATCTGATCAAACACTGTCGAATATCGAACCCCAAATGTCCAAACTGGTATCCAAAACACCACCATTACACCAGAAGTAGATGCCGTTGTTAATTTAAAATTATATAACAATAAATAGTAATCAGATATATCTATTAGATTTAAATTTACAAATAACAAATACTTAATCTATAACAAAAATATGTCAAGGTTCTTCACTCAAAATATATGATTCCTAGACATTGTTACAAATAGACATTGGTACCAACCCTAAGTGAAAATAATTTGAAACACTTTTGAAAAAAACTTCTTCCCAAAAGTGATTTTTTTAAAATAGAACAACAATTTTATTTAAATTTATTATTAAATTTAATAACTTTTTAGAATAATTTTTAAAATTATAAAACTAAATATTTATAAGCAAAATTATTTGTTGCGTTATTTTAAAAACAGAATTAAACCAAGAAAAAACCAAATTGAGCATCCATTTTTATCAGTTGATAGTGAATGTTATGCTTTTAACAGAAAAGCAAAGATGGTTGTGTTATATAAATGCAGTAGAGATGGTTGTAAAATTCTTGTTATAATAACAGATAACAACACTTTTAAAATTGAAGGTTCTCAAACTTGTTTTATAAATCATGAAGAGTTGTATCTTGCAAGATGTCGCAGAGAAATTATTAACAATGAGCTTGATTTAAATGTTACTCAAAACATAAGACAACTGATCAACAAAATAGTTTTGCTACCCGATTGTGACAAAGCATCTGAAAAAGATATTGAAGCATGTGTTAAATATGCAAGTCGTTTCCAAGATAAAATTTTGGGAACTAATAAACATTCTTACCAAGAAACTACAATACAGTTCTAGTGTCAGTTTAATGAAAATAACAGAACTAATAACTATTCAAAAGGATTTCATAGTGGAGTTGGATTCCTTGTAACTGTAGCACATCCTAAGTTGTTGGTTTTAATTGACATCCTCAGGAAAATTGAACCTAAAACTAAAATGAAATGGAATGACATGATAATGGGTAATGTTATAATACAATACAAAAAGAATGTCACTGATCTTCAACGTAAACTATTCATTTCCATGAATAATTATACCGAAAATAACATCAGTCAAATTTGACTTTATTGGATTCTATTTCTTTGTTATACATCAGTTACAATTTGAATGTCCGATTTGCGCGTGTTATTAATTTGTAATTCAGTTTTGCGTGGAAAAAAGTGAAAAAAGAAATTGAGAAAATCACACAAAGAACAACAACATTGCATTTTTGATGAAGAAGGTTCACAAATAGATAATAATCAAGTTGTGTTATTAGACATGGAAACGGAAACAGAATTTACTTCATTAAATGTTTTAAATCAAACAACTTTTTTGTGTATTACGGATTTTTGTATAATTCAACCTCGAGATGATCAGCCTTTATTGAATCTCAATTGTAAACTATCAGCCAAAGAAGAAAATCAAGTGCCCAATTTTCTTGAAATGGATATAATACATATAGAATGTGAAGAAGATAAACCCAAAAACCTTGTGACAGTAAAGAACACGAAAACAAAAAATTAACCTTGAAAAGAAGACAAAGAAACCCGAAGTAGATAAAAATGTGTGCATCGTAAAAACCATACAACAGTTCATTATTTAAAAAATTGAAAACAGCAAAAGCAAAAAGTAAAAAAAAATATTTTTTTTGTTTTTTTTAAAAAACACTTTTGGGAAGAAGTTTTTTCTAAAGTGTTTCAAATTATTTTCACTCGGGGTTAGTACCAATGTCTATTAGTACCAATTTTAAGATAACAAAATATATATGTCATCTAAAGCTGTATCTAATTTTACAGATTATAAAACATATATTATAAATTCATTAGAAAAACTACAATAACAACAATTTATGGTAGTTTTGAATCAAGTGTTGTTTATAATGCTTTTAATTTTAGAAACGATTTA